GTTGCCTCAGCTGCCAAGTTCTGCTGCTTGCTGGGGCTGGAACATGGCCTCCTTGTTCAATTACATCTTCACCAGCTTTCTGTTTTCAATGGTTCTTTCACTGCCTAAGCTTGGCTATTTGGAAACTCAATCTGTAGAACAGGCTGGCCCTTAACTCAAGAAATGGCATCTATCACTGTGACTGGACCTAAGATTTTCTTTAATTCCTTTTCACAAGTTGGAAGCTTAATTGGGTGAGGTCCTGCCCTGCGGTCACCACTCCCTTTATTCTGTTTAGCATCGAGCTTTTCTTTAAACTTTTTCCTGGTGCTCTTATTCACCTCAAACTCTATATTTTGTATTTTTCCTTGTTTGGCTTACTCCTTTTCATTATAGATCTATATAAGACTGCCCACTAATACCAAGCAACACAGTCAATGCTAGGTTGTTTTGAAAGGTCCTATGCCAAAGCTATGAATCCATAACTTTTCAATTTAACCAATTTAGCTCCAGGCAGATTTTTTTGGACAAGGGCAGAACACAACCAGGGTCTCTAGGCCACATATTAATAGTCTTCTCCTCTGAGCCCCCACAGTTCAGTCATCCTGAACATCAGTGTCTTCCATGTTCCTACTAGGGTGGTTCATTAAGCCCTACTTAAAATGTTAACTGCTTTTCTAACCCAAAGTCCCAACGCCTAAATTCCTCCAAACAAAAGCATAATCAGGCCTATCACAGCAATACCCCAGTTCCTGGTACCAACTTTTGTCTTAAATGTTTTATTGCTGTAAAGAGACACCATGACCACAGAAACTCATAAAAGGAAAAACATTTAATTGAGGTTGGTCTACAGTTCAGAGGTTTAACTCATTATTATCCTGGTGGGATGCATGGTGGCACACAGGAAGACATGGTGCTAGAGAATGAGCTGAGTGTTCTGCATCTGGATCCACAGGCAACAGGAAGAGACCGAGACACACTGGGCCTGGATTGAGCTTCTGAGACCTCAAAACCCACCCCTAGTGACACATTTCCTCCAGAAACACCATACCTCCCAGTAACACCAGTCCCTATAAGCCAATGGGGCCATTTTCATTCAAACTACCACAAAGCCTAATTAATCAGAGTGGTTTAATATTGTATTTTATTTATACTAGAAGCTAAATAGTTATACATACATAATTCCTTTGTCTGGTTTCCAAGTAACATTGAGATGATTTTATTTAAATTATTCTCTAAGCTATAAAAACAATTATATTAATATAGTAATACTTGTAAGTATTGATCCTATCATAAATATGAAAGCAGCAAGGCAAAATATCACATTTCATAAATAACCTGAATAACTTCCTACTATAAATTTGATCATACTTTGAATTTCTTACATATGTTATTTTCCCCAAAAAGTACATTACTGAAAAAAAAAAAAGCTGTTGCAAACAGCAACAGGGGAATATAACCTAAACTACAGCTCTTCAAGTTTAAACATCCATCCCATAGAGACAGTCTTCCCTCCTGTAGTCGGGATTAAAGGACACTCTCTTGGGGTTTTCTTTTCCTGGTACCAGGCATTTGCCTGTTCTTAGGTAATGAGGCCCTGCACTATTTCTCTGTCTGTAGAAAGAACACTAGCACATGTCAGAAATGGGCATTTTCTCAAACAGTATGTAATGTTCTGTAGTAAAAAATAGCAGATAGAATAGGCATAAGAACACTAAAAATCTTAAAATGCATCCAGTCCTATCACAAGTCAAGAACATGGTTACATAAATCACTTTTCATAAAGAGGCTTTAGGATTAGATAATCAACAACTGAATAAACATTTGTACTTAAAAACATAGGAAAAACATTTTAAAATAGGCCAGCAAGCTGCTGCCTCTGTGATATGACAGAACGTTTTAAACTCCCTGGGTTGCTGCAAGTATTTTCTAAAATAAGCAAACAAACAGAAAATCTAGGTGATGCCACAACATACATACAGCCAAATAGATTGAGTGAAATGTTCAAGTTTTAGAAAAATAGATTCTACTTTATAGTTTAAAGCAGAAAGACAGTGAAAGGGATTTTTAGAAATATAGCTTCAGATACCAGAGAGTTAAGTTAGCTCAATAGTTAAACGCACTTGTTGCTCTTGCAGAAGACCCAAGTTTAGTTCCCAGAACCATGTCAAAAGGCTCACAACTACCTACAACCCTGCACCGGGAGCTAGGATGGCTCTGACCTCTGGTCTCTACAGGCATCTACATTCACATGCACATACCCATACACAGGTATGAACAGAGAGAGAGAGAGAGAGAGCTTCCTGAAATCACTTTCCTTTCAAACCTTTCACATTTAGACCACCATGTCCTAGCTTCTCAACTTGACTCCTATGCTAGTGAACTTCACTTCTTAAGTCCTGACTGTTCCTTTTTTCACTGCCCATTATACTTTCAAGTCCCTTCTTTATCAGACCTAGACCCACGACCCAAAGTCTTAATAACTAGTGGGCACAGTGCCACATATGGATAATTTCACAATCTTGGGAGGCAAGGACTGAGCACAAGACCAACCTGGGCTACACAGTAAGACTTGTATTTCAAAACCAAAACAACAGTATGTAACTCTACTAATGTCCTTGTATACATCTTCTAATCTACTATACCCTTCCTATCAAACTTTTAGCAAACCTGTGGTTTAACTTAACATTGCTTACAACAAAAATTATTAATTGGTATTATTTCTATTGTATGAGGCAGAAAATGCAAGTTCTTAAACAGTATCCATGCTCTCTTTTCTTACTAAAGAAACCCTGATTTTACTCAGGAAGTTAGTGCACCTGCAAAAATGCTATACTTCCCAGGCTCCCTAGCAACAGGGATCTGTGACATCAGAATTTAAAATTCTGATGAGTCTGGTAAAGCTCTTTCAAAGGACCCAACCCATCCAATAGACACAAGGGAAACAGCACTCCTGGAGATAGGTAAACAGAAAAACAAAGTAATTCACAGCCCTGAGTTACAGTGCTGCAGTGCTCCTGACCTACCTGCTCCCATGTTTGTGTTACCTGAAGGTGACAGAAGTCTTTATAGTCTTTAAAATGGTTTTTTACTGATATATTTAAAGTGTATAGCATGATATCATCAGATACACATAGACAGTAAGATGGTTAACATACATCAACTCACATAGTCATTTTCTTTGTTTTTATGGCAGGAACAAAAGAAAAAGAATCTATTCTTAACTACTTTGAGTCATTATTTTAGAGTTTCTGCTATTTACAACAAATACAATTCCTGACTTGTTGCCTATTCTGTTTATTTAAAAATTATATATAAGATCACATTGCCCATATCCCATTAGGCTCTTTACTAGGTTAACTACATCTTCTTTGACCTGGCCCTTCAACATCTCTCAACTCATTTCCTATAACCCCTCATCTGCTTTCACACTGCTCATGTGTGTATGCTTCAGACACACTGACATCCTTTTGCACTGAAAAGGCAAACTGCTGGTCTAGGCCTCTGCAGGGTACCCTTCTCATGTTTTGCCTGATTGGCCTCTGAAGTAACTTCCCCAACCACTCTTTCCAAAACTGCTCTAATGTTCTCTCCCACTGCTTTCCGACCCTTCAGACTGCTTTATTATGTTAATTTTGGTTGCTTATTCCTTGTCTTACTCCTAAAAAGGACTCTCCCTGAAGACAAGGACCTCATGTGTCTTCTTCTACATTGTATCCCCAGTGACTCATACCAGGTGTTCAATAAATATATGAATAATAAAAACATATCATTTCATTTACACTGAAGACCATGTGTTCCTCTGTGTGTGTGGGGGGGGGGCTAGATAGAAAAAGTTATCTGTATCAGTGTCTGACCAGCCTTACTTCCTGTCTCACTTGTAGAAGTATGATCAAGCAGCTGCCCCATGCTCCTGTCACCATAGGTCTGTGCCTGTCACCATAATGCCAACCCTTCCACCATGCCCTTCCACCATGAGTAATTATCTTTCCTTACTGTAAACCCTTTCTTCCTTGAGCCATTTCTTCCAAGCCTTTACCACTATGAGATAAACAATCACTATATCTTGCCTCTATTTTATTCCGATTAAGTAAAAGTAGATATTTACATTTATAAAGTAAATGCCCACATGCAGAATTATTACCTAATTACTTACAAGCCCATGTGAGCAGCGGTCATGCAGGGGAGGAGGGACGTGCATGGGGACTAGGGAGGGTTGACATCAAACTTCTAATTAGTTTGAAATTAAAACAACAAAAGCAACAGTTATAGGCTAGAGCTCAGTGGCAGAGTACATACACCATGCCCTATGTTCAATCCCCAATATTGAACAAAAAAAAAAAAAAAAAAAAAAAAAAAAGATTATAACACAATTAAAAGCCTCTTTAGTGGTAAATATTTTGTAATTAAGAGACTTTCATATGCCCTGTGGCCTCCATTATAATCCTCCTAGAGTACTTAATAAAGTAAAACCTATAAAAATAATAGTAGCTACAAGTAACTAGAAGCACTTGCAAGGAAAAAAATAACACAAACAATTATTAGCAAAGACTGTGCTAAGTGTTGACAACACCTTTCTTGGTAGAGTGTAACGGCCCCTATAAGCTACACTTTCATCTGTGAAAACCCAACTCAAAAGGGTTCTTAGCTAAGTTTATTTCTAGTGTAGCTTTAAATCTATATGGGCTGTTATAAAATGGTATGTAGAAAGATAGGATATGAATTCTAAACTTTTAAAGGCCCAATGAATCAAAAGCAAGCATTCTTTTTGTTTGCTTGTTTGTTTGTTTTGTTTTGTTTTTTCGAGGCAGGGTTTCTCGGTGGCTTTGGAAGCTGTCCTGGAACTAGCTCTTATAGACCAGGCTGGTCTCGAACTCACAGAGATCCGTCTTCCTCTACCTCCTGAGTGCTGGGATTAAAGGTGTGCACCACCAACACCCAGCTAAAAGCAAGCATTCTTTAACATTAATATTTCAATTAACTTTAAGAAAAGAAATGTCATGCTAATATGTACACTGTACCTTTCTTAGGCATTCATATTCCTCACGAAGTTCTCCAGGCTTGCTTAATTTGATTGGTGCTCTGAATATAAACTCTGGAAGAAAAGGAAAGTACTTTTAAATAGGTTTTTGTAAGAAGGAACCATAACAATGTTCTACCACTGACTACCACATTATAAATCACATTTAAAAAATATGGTTTGTTTGTTTTTTGACACGGGGTCTCAGTATATAGCTCTGGCTGATCTGGAACTCAATATGTAAATCAAGCTGGTTTTGAACTCTGCCTGCCTCTGCCTCTGTGCTGGGATCAAAGGCGTTTGCAATCACACCTGGCCAAAGTATGGGTATCTTCATTTGAATATTCCCTCATTCATTAAGTCAATACTTAATAAAGGTTATAAATCAGGACTGTTCTAAGCACTGGAGGAAATATGAACAAATACAGTCCTTGTGCCATGAATTACAATCTTGTGGAGAAGCAGACGTAAGTAAACAAGTGAGAATATATTCTGAGTGGAAAGTAAATCAATGCAGGGTGGAAGGAAAAATCTGTCTTATCCGAGTGGTCTGGAAAAGGCTCACTGATAAACATGCCAAAAGACCACAAGGAAAACTGTATTTGAAGTTCTTGTGTCACATAACACACACACACACACACACACACACACAGAGAGAGAGAGAGAGAGAGAGAGAGAGAGAGAGAGAGAGAGAGATGTGTGAATAAATGTTTTATATTTTTTCAGTATGTAACCTACTTTCTTTAGCCCCCAAAGCCTTGAGTGGTTCTCATATGAGCATACAGAACAAAATCACTACTTCCTAACATGTTCTTCAAGGTGCTCCATTAACTGATCATCTTTACAATATCATTATACTGCTCAACCCTTGACTAATTAACCACAAAACAAAAACCATATACATTAAATTTTATATGCTGTTTTCCCATTAAAATTCTATCTTCTCTCTTTTCTCTATATATTTCTAAATCAAAGAGTTGAGGTCTATAAGACACATAAACTACATGGAAGCTATGCAAATGGCAATAAAAATGAAAAATTAGGACAGGAATAAAAGGCATGTCTTAAATATTACCAAAAAGGAAGAGCCAAGCATGATGGTATATGCCTGGAATCCCTGAACTCAGGAGCCAAAAGCAGGGACTGCCATAAATTCAAGAATAGCCTAGGCTACAGAGCAAGAACCTATTTTTTTTTTTTTTTAAATGTAGAGAGGTACACACTTTATTTCTGTAAATATGACAACAACTTATATCCTCTAGATAGGTAGTGTTCTAACTATAGTAATGGTCTTACAATTTATTGACAACTCTACCCCTGACCCCCAGTGTTGGTTCTAGGAAAACTAAATTCCTCAAAAGCCTGTTGTCCTTTTTCAGTTGTCTCAACTATTTTCCAAAGAAAGTACACTGAGGAATGAAGACACTTAGAAACTGACATAAAGTTATCCCCGCACTCACCCCCCCCCCAAGTCTGGAAGACAAACAACCTATCAGCCTCACCCACTTCAAGACCTGACAACTATTTCAGTCATATCCAGAAGCACATCCCACTTACAAGAAGCTCACTTACAAGCTAACACTTTAAGAGAGAAAAGGAAGAGAAACGATAACAGAACTCCTTTCTAAAAAATACTTTAGGAGCTGGAGATGGCTCAGCAGCTAGCATCAGCTGCTTTTCCAGAGGACCTGGAATTTCGTTCCCAGAACCTACACAGTGACCCAGCCATCTGTAACTTCAGATCCAATGGATCTAACCCATCTTCAGCTCTCCACAGGCACCAGACACACATGTTTTGTACAAAACTACCTGCAGGCCAAACATTCATCACAGAAAATACCTTTTTTTAAAAAAGTACTTCAAAGGCACATACTGCAAACCTATTACAGGTGAGATACTTCACACATTTGTCAGTGGAACCTTCATAGAAACATCACAGTAGGCATTCTAGCCATTCTACAAATGAGGTAGGCAACTGTGGGTATCAATGGTCTGCTTGACACAGCATCACAGGTGCATGGCAAATTATTTAATGATTTAAGATCAATGCTTACAAAATGAAGGTCAGTCTTTCTCCCTACTACAAAAAACATTATAGTGGTATCCCTCTTGAAAAAGTCTTCCTGTCGTGTGTGGGAGAAGGTCTTGTGAGAACTGACTAATGCAGGAGGGTCCAGTCCACTGTGGCAATAAGTTCAGGCACCATTCTCCCTGCAGGTGGTCCTAGGCTGTATGCAGAAGTTACTAAGTGTGAGTCTGTACTTGAGCCAGCCAGCAGCATTCCTCTGCAGTTTCTGCTTCAAGTTCTTTTAAAATAAACCCTTCTACCCTAATTTGATTTTGGTCAGTATTTTATAACAAAAAGAAAAGTAGTATACTTCCTTACTTACCTAAAAAGACAAAATAATCATTAAAAAGTTAACAGTTGTGAATTTGTATGAGCCTACAATACAGCAAATATGTAAAAATTTAAGAAGAAACTAATATAAAATTATGGTAGTAAATTTAATATACCACAATTAAAAATATGCATTAGGCAAACTAAAAAAAGTAAACAGAAAAATATGCAATAAAATATTACATTTGATCAAATTTATATATATATATGTGTGTCCACCCAATGAATAGAATATTTATTATTTAAAAGAAAACAAGAGCCGGGCATTGGTGGTGCATGCCTTTGATCCCAGCACTCGGGAGACAGCCTGGTCTACAGAGTGAGTTCCAGGACACCCTCCAAAGCTACAGAGAAACCCTGCCTTGAAAAACAGAAACAAAAAAACAAGAAACAATTAAAATATTTATAATATACTGCATTACAAAGACATTTCAAACAGTTTCAAAGAATCCATACTATAAAGCCTTTCATCTTTAACATTGACTATCATTTTCCAAGTTGAGCTTTCTGGGTATGCAACTGCCAACTGTTACTCAGTATTCTTTCTCATTAAATCCCTTTCCTGATTAAATTTGCAAATGTAGATTTCTGTTTATTACAACTGACAGGATTGGCTATTTCTATTTTTCATATAGGTCTCTGAAATAAATAGTAAACCAGGAGCTAGTAAAACCAAGAAGAAAAAGATTTAAGACACACACACGGGGGGGGGGGTAGGGAGAGAGAGAGAGAGAGACAGAGAGAGTGGGGAGAGAGGTACCATACTGAGCTTCAATCTGCAGGAACTGTTAATGATCTGACTGGTGTAAGACATGTGCTCCTCTGGATGACTGCTTGTGTATCTACAGGACAAACAACTGAATGCTGAGCCAAAGATGACTATGCTTTTAACAGATAACAAACCCTCCTTCCTAAGGCTACACTGGGTAATGGTCCCACTAACACAGCATGAAATTGACATCTGTTCAGCACACCTCAAGTGTTGTCAATCTGAGAGGCAACAACGACATTTCATGAGTGAAACTGAGGACTTTCCACAGAGCTAAGAGTAGCTAACATTTCTTCTGAGATCTGTTTCCTTATTGCTTGCATAAGCTCATCTTCTTTGATTTTATTAGCAAGTTAAACTTGTAAGAAACACAGACCTAGTGTAGCTGTTCTTATATGCATATTTCACAAGAAAGCTAAATTCACTTTGGAACATTTATTAAGAAATTCATATAAGGCTAAACAGGAACTCAGCATCTGGCATCACAACCCTGTAGGCTTGTTCATAATATTGGGTTTAGACACTTGTTCTGCCAATGAAGTGAAATGTCGAAGCTTCTCTTTGCCTCAGTTTCCTATCTATTAAATGTGAATCAAAATACTGGCCAACCTATCTCATATGCAATTAGACCACAATTATTAAGACCTATCATATCTTACTATGCTCCTAACTTGTTTGAATCAAAAGACAAGAGTAGTGTGCCTTCATGTATCCACTAACATTAGAATTGACATAAATCATCTTAAGATGCATCTACCTCATAGGAAAACACCATAATTATAAGTAGTATTAGTGCTAACAGTCAATAAAGAATCCTTACAATAGACCTGGTGTGTGGCATATGTTTGTAACTTCAGGAAACTAAAGAAGGATCTTTGTGAATTCCAGTCCAGCCCAATTTACATACTGAATTCAAGATTAGCCTGAGTCAGGTCAACAAGACCTTGCCTCAAAAATACAAAATAAAAGTTTTATGATAAAAATATGCAACAGTTAATACTATATACTAAATATCAAATGCATACAAACCACACATTACCAAAAGACAGATATCAAAGACCTAACTGCCCATCATTATGAAGGCTTGCCTACAAAGTTAGCCTTTGGCTGATGCCTTGAACTTGGATTTCAGGAAGGCTCCTTCCCACCCTAACTTCACTGGTAAAAATGGTTTGTTGCACCTCATTGACTCTAGAAATACCTGCTTACCTACTAGGAGTATGAAATTTTGATACATGCTCAACAGAAAATGTATGTGATCCATTCATTATGAAAGCTCTACTCAGTAAGCCTCCAGCAAGTTCCCTTGGTAACATTCATGCATTGTTCCACTTTCTTTGCCAGTGTAATAATATACACCTCTGCTGAGAGAAAACTATGGAAACCAGACTTTGTCCTGCAAAATGTTTACTGTTGATTTTGCTCAGTACTCTTTTACTGCTCTAGATCATAACTATGAGCTCAACTACATGCTGAGTCCTATAAGTGCTCCTGATGGTGTGGTTTTCACACACACACACACACACACACACACACACACACACACACACACACAGTGTAGCCCAGGATAATTTTAAGATCTTCCCTCCTCAGCCTTCTGGATGCTGGCATTACAAATGTGCACTACTAAACGCCTAGCTCTAAAAATTCTTTAGATCCCAGTTTGTTTCTGAGAAACAAGCAATATTACACATCTATAGTTGGTTCAATATCAACTTTTAATTCATTCTTATTTCCTAGTCGATACTCTCTAAAATCTTTAAAACTCGATCACAGTTCAATCTTACAGGTAAAATACTATTTGGCTTAGAATAATTATAACATCAAAACAACATCTCTGAGGCTGGAGAGATGGCTGAGTGGTTAAGAGCACTGACTGTTCTTTCAGAGGTCCTGAGTTCAATTCTC